TTGTCTTTAAATTCTCAATTATGAATACGTGTCCTCTTCTCGTCTCATCAATTTTTTCTTCTCAGTTCCTTACGTGTCTTCCTCCTATGTTATCAATGTACTACACAATACTCTGCTCTTATCTTCTTCATTTAAATGCTCCACTATCTGTGCACACCAAAGTTCACTTCTTTCTCTTCAGCATTCTTCAGGTATGGGTTCTTTCATGTTTCAATTTAGTTATCTTTTTTGTGCCATCTTTCTTTTCATCAAAGTCGAAGTCCCAAATTTGATATGAGTGTGTGATGTTTGCTTAATTTTTCCATTTAGGTTTGTCATTGATGTTGGATTATCCTTGTCTTTTGGAAGTCTGAATAATTTTAATAGTTGTGTCTTCAATTTGTGTTGGGGGATTATGCTTTCCGTGTTTTGTATTAGACTATCAAAAAACTGTTCAGATTCAAATTTTTGTTGTGTTTTTTCGCATGTAGTAATTAATTTGGTCTTTTTTAGTCAGATTTAAATTTATGGGTTTCTTTATTTTAGCTGGGGTTTCTTTATCAGAGTTCTTTTGATCTTCCTCCATTTATAGGCTCTTGTGGGTTTAGCTTGGAGTTTACGAATATTCAATTACTTCTACTCGAATTGACCTACTGGTCTATCGGTGGATCCAGGATACGTCTTCTAACCTTTAAAATTTATATTATCGCCAATGTTTGAGTAAATGGTGATGTTGTTTTTACGCCAATATCGAACAAAGAGATGCCATCATCCATTGCTCCGCAAGTAGCATACAAATGAAGAAGCGCATTTAACAAAACAGATAAAAGATATATGAAAAGCAGAAACAACATTCCAGACAAAATTTGGACATGTTAATAGGCGCACCTGCATCTCTATATGATTCTTCAACCGTCACAATCAACGTCTTTTTTCTCATACCATCCCTAGCCAACTACTTGTTGACTTGTATATGAATCTTTAACAATTAAACAACATAAATATTATTATGTTAGTAATCATTTGGTGCAAGGGCACAATAAAGTTGAATTAAAGCGATGAAATAGGATTATAACTATGGTGACTACTCAGGAAAAATGGATAGATATGGGAGAATATATTTAGTTGCATCCTTAAATGTAAGTACTTAGTGAGAACTATAAAATTACAATGAACAAAAAGAAAAATGAACCTACAGACACAATATGATCATATGAAAGTGAATGGTTTGGGATAGGAACATAGCTAGGAGAAATAGGCGCAGACACGGAAGTGGTTACAGTTGAATGAGAAAGTGAATGGTTTGGGATAGGAACAGAGCTAGGAGAAATAAACGCAGACACAGAAGTGGTTACAGTTGAATGAGAAGTTCGATTGAGCATGATCTCTGCTACAACTAATATAAGGGAGAACTCTTGAGTAATTATAATCCTCTCATCTTTCATCATGTACCAGGCATAATACAAGCCTCTAAAAGTCACTGTTTTGTCGAGAGAATATGGTGAAATGATAACCTCATTGTGAATATATCATTGTTGAAAGGATGTTGAATTACAGGGTACTTGTATCACTTCTCTGTTTTCATTGAGTTTTGTAAATAATGATGTGATAATATTTTAAATCTCTTGTTGAATAGAAGCGTAAGATCAAAGAACAATTATCCATTGTTAAACTAATTTTCTGTCATTCTAAGATTAACAAATTGTCTTTTAGTGAACTACTTGTTATTATTTCTAATGTTTCAAGTTTCGTAAATAATAAAATCTTCTAAATAAATCACAATTACATAATCTAGGTGTTGGCACTACAGTATGAGCTCTAAATTTGTTTCCTAATGCTCTAAAACCTATTTATTTTACTTGATATATTATATTGTGAGATGCAAATATATATGTTAATGACAAATGAGAGCTTAATGAAATGGGAGATCTTCCAATCTTTTATGTTTCTTTTGATGCACCAATATAGTACAAACTTGTATAGGAAATACAGTGGAGGTGTTCTTAAATAGTTGTTGTTCTCGTAGAATATTTATTTTGAACTGAATTTCACTCGCTTTTGTTAGGTATCCTATTATTTCTAAGTCGTTATTCAAGAATATGGTGTGGGGGTGACTATAATTGTAGATAGGGTTCAATTTTGTTGTATGTTGCTAATATTTTTCTATAGTTATGTCAATAAGACCAAAGGACTTGTCCACTTCAATTTAAATAATTCGCTTCCACAAATTATATATGATATTTACTCTGTAATTTGTACATAAGGATAAAGGATAAGAAAAAAATTCTTTGAGTTTAATTTGTCAAAGTAGTCGGTTCATAACCATCATGGACATAAGCTAAAACATCTTTATAGTCTCTTGAGATTGTAAAAGAATCATACGCTTTACCATCTTTGCTCTTCTTGTACTCAAACACAAGGGAAGATTTGTTAAATGGTGTGAGTTTCACAAATCCCCAGTCATAATCTTTGAACGCACTCCATCTAGTGTTAAGAGTGGTGAACAAATAATTATTTAAATACATGCATATTTTCTATTTAGAGTTTTGGACTCACCAATGCGTGGAAGTGTAATGGAGTCTACTTTCCCTTTAGAAGCTTTATAGCATCTATGTTTTCCTTGTTTATTTAGTTATAGAGAAGCAAAAAGTTCCGTCCCTTTCTTTCTTTTAGTATTAGGACGCCAATCCATAGATCCTGAACTTCACTATGCAACATTAATTTAGTATTTCAAGGCTTCTCTCCCTTGCTACTTCCCTTAGAAATTTGTGCTTGAAATAATATAATATCGAGCACACAACAACAATTACCAAGTGCTAGAGAAAGCACTCAGAAACTTCTTCCGGAGTGAGAGTCCATGTTATATTGAAAGCAAATATTTATGTTGAATTAGATAAAACCACTTCAGCTTCATTTCTGTTTGTTCATTAAGGAATTGGACGAAATTAAACTTCTCATATAACCTGTATCTTAGGGAAATTTGATTTACTTTCATCAGATTTCTCGTGTAACAATCAAGGTCGGCATTAATCATTAAATATTATAAATATTATATAGAGCTTTTGTTTTCGTGGAACAATATGATTTCTCCACCTTGTTTGATAATGTACATTTAAGTTACTTTATGTGCAGATGCCAATGAAATCTCATTAGGAAACTGTACTAAGAACATATAGATACCAAAAAAACCAAGATATATTGGAACACTCTGAATTTTATCAATAACTAACTAAAAGGGGATTCTTTGACTATTAAATAAAAAACGAGTATAAAATGCATTTCTATTAGTGTATTATTGTTAGATGACTCTCTAAAGCTGCACATTTTAGATAATCATAATCGTTTGGATAAAAATGTGAAAGTAATTTTAATCTTATAGAGAAAGATGTCAAAATTTGAAACATAGTCTTAAAGACTACTGTTTTGCCTTGGATCACAGTGGACTGTTATGATTCTGCAGACAACACGAGTTCAATATCCTACTCTTGTAGATGAGTCTTGTAGTGTCTACATCGGTACTACTTTCTCTATACTCATCTCTTTTAAAATTTCCTAAATATGTTGCCTCTTGTTTGTCTATGTTTTGACTTGACATGGATTTTTAAATCTTGTGATCATAAACTAAAGATGTGTATAATATACCAACATGTCCTATTAATCTTATTGCATGAAATATGTCATGTAGAATGTTGGGCATAAAAGTTGCTAAATATAAAAAGCGACATGACTGAAAGCGCCTCAAAAAGCAAGAAATAAGAAGTAACACCTTCGTTTGAGCACAAGTCTATGAATTTTGTCCACTAAACATCTAGAATTCAGGAGAATATTATTATTGGTGTCTTTTGTTTTTTTTTCAGAAAAGTTTAGAATTATACCCCTATAATCTCTACGTTTGTAGGCAACTCTTTACTATACTACTTACTGCATATTTGAGTTTTACACCACTTGTGCATTTTCGCTATGTTTTGTAAAATATGAGTCTATGCATCTATAATGATCATGTAAATGTGTTGGACACCTTCCTCTTCTCCTCTTCTATAGAATAGTTGTTCATATTTTACTACATTGGTTTACACCTGAATAGACTTCTTAGAAAGAGTGAAGTTATAAACAATTAGGTTCTTTTATATCAACCACACCATTTTGGAATGTCTCGGAATCTTAGCAAGTATCTACTGTTGGAAAATCCAAATGAAAGAGATATACAAAGATGGTGTTGCTTAAAAATGCTACCTGCAACTTGGTTATTGATAACTAGGATCGGTGAATTCTTTTAGCTTACATATAATTTGCAGAAAAAAGTTAAATGCCTCCAACCCATGGCCACACTTTATAGCTTCCCCATAACTATTTCTTTCATTAAATTAACAATATCTCTCCTTTGTAGGTTGCATGGAGAAAAAAAAATCTTGTTCCCATATTTTGTACTATTACATTTTCTTAACTAGTGTTGTATTTGATATTCATAATGTTTTGTATGCTAAACTCTACTACCTTATTATACCAGAAAATAGTACGATGAATCCTTCCAATCGGGTGGAAAAATGATTCCTCAAAGTTACAGATCAAGATAAAACATAGAGAAGGCTTGACCAATTACCTAGGGGCTATGGAGAGGTAACATAAAGAAGAGAGATTGGCCACAGTGTGTGCAACTACTCCGAATGTATAGGAGACATAAATGCTTTCTTTCAGCAGATGAAAATATTGTTATGCAAATATGCATTTTGCAATGTCAGAATTCAATTGATTATTCTATAAAAGGAAAGTTCATCACCTACTGTGCTAATTTGTTTTTACATTATTTAATTTCTTTTGGAGTTGAGAGTAAATTTAAAATCTTTATATTAAATTGTATCGTATCTCTAATTGTATGTGGCAATTCATAAATATAAGATACAACATAATTATTAACGATTATATCTTTATTAAAATATTTAATTAGTTTCTATGAAATTCATTAACATCTTCACCTTTTCTTTTGACATTTCTGAAAAAAACAAATATGATACACAAAAATTGAGCTAGTGAATATACGAATACCGTGCTTGCACGGGCAGCTCTTACCTAGTATGTATATATATAAATATATATATATATATATATTACCAAAACAAAGGTCCGCATTCACTTGTAAAATTACTCACACATTGAGTATGTTGTAATTGTGGTTTAATAGTAGAAAGAAGTTGAGAGGTAAAGGGTGATATAAGAAAGAAGATATGTTAGGATAGGACAAAAAATAAGGAAGATGGTAAAATGAAAGAAGTTAAAAGGGGAAGAAGGAACAATTACTTTTTTAGGAAAAGAAGCGCTTGCCTGATTTAATGTCATTTATTAAAAAGTAATTGTAATGTATTGGTTGTGAAACGAACGGTTAAAAAATGGATAATTTACGAGCCTTACGTGGTTGAGACTTTTATTAATTAAATGCTAGCTAGATTAATATTCTGTTAATATTATATGAGAATGCATGCTAATTAAAATGTCAAAAAAATGACAAAAAAGAAAAATAGAAACATTGATCAAAGAAGTATGCCACATCAACAAAGTCCGCATTCACTTGTGAAATTACTCACACAATGAGTATGTTGTAATTGTTGTTGAATAGTAGAAAGAAGTTGAGAGTTACGGGTGATATAAGAAAGAGGAAAAAATAAGGAAGATGGTGAATTGAAAGAAGTGAAAGGGGAAGAAGGAACAATTACTTTTTTAGGCCTGATTTAATGTCATTTATCAAAGAGTAATTGTAATAGGTGGGTTGTGAAACTAACGGTTAAAAAAATGGATAATTTATGAGCGTAACATAGGTGAGACTTTTATTAATTAAATGTTAGTCAGATTAATATTATATTAATATTATATGAGAATAGATGATAAATAAAATGTCAAAAAAATGACAATAAAGAAAAACACAAATACTGATCAAAGAAGTATGTCACGCCACCAAATTATGTTACAAGGAGTCAAGTGTATATTGTTTTAGCTGTTTTTTTATACAAATGTATTTGATAAAAAAAATTCGACGAAACCGTGTCAAGTGACATATCTGGCCTAAATCTGCCTCTAGTTACAAGAATAATGATTATAAAGGTGATGGTTGGAGAGGTTATGATTATTTTTTTAATAGAAAGTAATATAATAACTTCTTCATACTATATTATTTTATAAGTATCATCTAATTTATTTTATTTTTTCCAATTCTAAAACCTAGGGAATTTTAAAGAAACCTATGCCTTTTAAACAGGTAAAGAAAAAAAAGGTATTTTTGGTAAACTAAATTAAAATAGAGTTTTGTATCGGCAGAAGAATTCTCCTTCTCTAAAACCTAGACAGGCGACAGGCGACAGGCGAGTCTATGCTTCACCTTGAATCTGTAAAATTTCGAATATGGTTCGAAGATTAAAGAAGCCCAGAAACGCTAAGCGCAAGAATAAGGTTTGTAATATAGTTTTTGCTATCAATTTTGTGAAAAAAAATCTGAATTTTGAATAATAATGACAATAATTATACAGGAAGTGGAAGGATTGTCGGATTCAGTAGCATCAAAAGTATGGGAGGCAGGAGTAGACAAATTGGAGGAAGGCGAAGAGCTTCAATGTGACCCATCTGCTTACAATGCCCTTCATGCCTTCCATATTGGATGGCCATGCATGAGGTATTTGACCGCCTTTTTCTTCATCACAATTTAACGAACAGAGTAGAATAAATCAACTAATGGTTTTTGAATTGGCAGTTTTGATGTGCTGCGGGACTCTCTTGGCATGGTGCGAACTGAGTTTTCACATACTGCATACTGTGTAGCAGGAACACAAGTAAGCTTTCTTCACTCCATGTTGTTGCCATTTATACATTGCAGCCCATTTCTGAGTTTGTCTTTCTTTTCCTTCTTTTCCTTTTAATAATTTAAGCTCGTTTCTCCCATTCTTTCACGCAGACAAAAGGGCTTCCAACTCTATTGGAATTTTTAAGTTATCTAATATATTTGGAAAAAGGCGGGACTTGGTGCCAACCAAGACTGGTGATGATGATAATATGGACAGTGAAAGTAGTGACAGTGATGATGATGATAATGAAGAAAAGGAAGTAGTAGAAGTTGTTCTACAAGTACTTTATTTCTTAACATCACACATATTCCTGCAGCTAACAAATTCTTTTTTTTCCAAAGCTACGCAAGGTGTTTCATGAAGGATGTGTTAATCGTATACGTGCTATGACGCAAAACCCCCATATAGTTGCTTCTTGGAGTGATACTGGTCATGTTCAGGTCAGACTCAGTTTTGATGATTCAATTCTTTCAATTGTTTTAAGACTACTTATCTTAGTTTTACTTCTTAATACTTTGGCATCATTCTTTGGTGCAAAACATTTATGCTAGATGCAATTTTGAGCTTCAAAATAGTATTTGATTAAGTTCGTCTGATTTATGTAGTTCATTATCAACGAACATGTAGATACAGGAACAAACTTCTTGTGAAGCTTAGTATATCCAGACAACAACAGCTATGCCTCAGTCTCAAACAAGTTGTGGGAGGCTATATGAATCCTCAATTCTTTCTTAAGTCAACCTATATCATCATAATACCAAATAGAATAAAAGTGAAAGGAGAAAATAATAGAAGTTATCTAACAAGCCTAAATCCTATTTTCAACTAGTAGATATCATCTATATGAATCTTTTCCTTCAATTTTGTCCATTATTAGCTAAGTCTGCTACAATGATCCCAAGGTCTTTCGAGACAACTGCCTTGCATGCGACTATAGGTCTATCTTTAACACCTTTACCCTCCATAGTTTTGCACGTACTGATCAGTGCATCTGTAGGTTTGTCCAGAAGGTTGATTTATCCAGAGACTAGTATAAAATCTCATCTTATGATAGGTTTAATGCACTGGCAGGTCTGGGATTTTAGCTCACTTTTAAATGCATTGGCAGAAGCAGAGAGTGATTGTAGCCAAGGAGTTTCTGCAGTCTCTAATCACTCACCTTTATTTAAGTTTGGCGGACACAAAGATGAAGGCTATGCTATAGATTGGAGTCCTCATGTACCAGGGAGGCTTGTTTCAGGTATGGGATGTCACTCTTGGCACATTTGATGATATGCCATGTCCATAATTATTCTAACGTTTGTTGCTTTAACTAGGGGACTGCAAGAATAGTATCCATTTATGGGAGCCAACTTCTGACACAACATGGAATGTTGAAGATCCTTTTATTGGACACAGCGCAAGTGTTGAAGATCTTCAGGTGCTCATATAATGTTTGTAGCTACTTAGGGAAAGGTTTCAATTTAGGCATGTCATTACATTTGCTAAATGCTAAAGCATTTATTTGTGACTTCCTCTGATGCAGTGGAGCCCTGTAGATCCTTGTGTGTTTGCCTCTTGCTCAGTTGATGGAAGTATTAAGATATGGGACACCCGAAAGAAAAGATCTCCTACCGCAACTATAAAGGCATATAAGACAGATGTTAATGTTATATCATGGAACAGGTATTTGACTTTTCTGTTGTTACTTTCCATATCTATAGTTATGGTTACATTGTTATGTGATTCTTTTTTCTCCTAGGGGAGAGAGCTGTATGCTTGCATTTGGGAGTGATGACGGGGATTTTTCTATTCAAGATCTTAGAGTCGTCAAGTGTGGTCTTAATGTACGTATGATTCTCTAATACTCTCTCAATTTCGGTTTAACTGTTTGGCGAGGGCTGGAAATTGTGAGGATGAGATCAGTATGAGTTTTCATAGAGGAGAAAATGCATCACAAAAAAAAGGGTGAGTGCTTATTCTCTTGTTTCGTTTTACAGGAAGGAGCAGAGAGTGTCGTGGCATACTTTGAATATCACAAACATCCGATCACTTCTATTGAATAGAGTCCTCACCATGAAGCTGCCTCAACCATTGCTGTTTCATCATCTGACAATCAACTGACGTAAGAACTCTAAAGGGATTGTTAATGTCACTCTCTCAATGGATTTGTTTATTTGTATAAATCACCATCCTTTTGTATTTAAATATATATATCAGTATCTGGGACCTTTCTTTGGAGAGAGATGAGGAAGAGGAGGCTGAGTTCAAAGTCAAAATGAAAGAGCAAGTCAATGTTCCAACAGATTTGCCCCCACAACTTCTCCTTATCCATCAGGTTTATATGTCTGTTTGTATGTTTGTCTGTATGATGATAGCGAAGTTTGAGTTTATTCTGACGACATATCTAATTAACAGGGTCAGAAAGATTTGAAAGAACTTCACTGGCATCCTCAGATCCCTGGAATGGTTATATCCATAGCAGCAGATGGATTTAACATACTAATGCCATCAAACATTGAAAATGTGCTTCCTGCTTGATACTTGGTTGATAAGAAAATGATGCATGCTTGGTAGCTCATTAATTAGCTATTCCTATTTCGCAAGTGATGAACATGTCTCTATTCCTTTACTTCTGTAACTATGTTGTGCCTTAGTTTTATCAACTTTAATTTGTCCCAGAAATCTATTTATGGACAATTGCATGCATCGCATGGTTGAGTACATTTCTTTTCTCCCACTTCACCCTTTGCCCAACCCTCCTTCATACTATCCTTGATAACATAGTCAACCTAACCATCTTTGGTCAAAACTAGGAGTGTACGTAACCGGGTAGGTTTGGCTTTTTCAAATATCAAATATTGAAATTCTGGCCCTAAATTTGCATAAGGAACAAGTATATTTTATATGTTCATTTGCAGATTACAACACCTGCGTTTTGTAAAAAAAATAAAATAGTGATACAATATTTTAT